TTTAGAATGCATTTTTATTGCAGAAAATCCAGGTATTTAGTCAGGCTCCTTAACTCAGGTGTTTTGAGTCTTGCTATTGAGTGACATGTGCTGTGTTTGACACCTGTTCTGAAGGAAAATTTGAGTTATTTGATGAGAACTATTTTACATTAAACTTTCATCATCTTCCACCAGCTTGTGACATTATTTTTTGGATCGTATCGTGACCCCACTATCGTGATACGTATCGTATCGTGACCTTGTGTATCGTCCCAGCCCTATCGGTCACTGAATTGTCTGATCGAGGCTCGATTGTTTGCAGACCGCCGTTATGTAGCTGGAATATTGCTGAGTGTAGCGTTAAACAACAAACAAACAAACAAATATTTGCTCATGTCAGACACTGGAGTGTCTGGTCCTGCGGCAATAAACAACTTCATACATACAAAACAAATATAACACTTATGTCTAAACATAGTAGCAATGAAGGTTTGAATGATGAGCAATAAAAGGTTGACATGCAACTACGCCATCGATGCTCCTACCCTTGGTGGCCATTCGATATTATCAAACGATCAAACAATTCAGGATAATGAATAATTGATTATCTCTTTGGTGTCGTTGGTGACCGTTCAGACCAGCTGCTACAACAACCTTTTTACGTCAGCTGTATCTTCAGGCGCTATTTTGCACAGTCACTTAAACTTACTATTAATGTACTATACTTTAATAGTCAATGACCAACATCCTCCGCAGTGGTCCCGAGGGAGGATCATTGTTTGATGGTCACGTTCTGGTAGCCACCGAACACTCTTTCCAAGCGTTGCTTTAACCCAAACGACGCTAACATTATCATGTTGTTCATAGTATCGTGGTTTGTGCCTAAACATATGTCTAAACTGGTAGACATGTTCAGAACGCGAATTCCATTGTGACGTACTTACGTCACGTGGTACTTCAAGTCTTCCAGCCTTTGGATATAGTTCGATGGCTTCCTTTAATCATCCATTGAATCTAATACAGTAAACTACGGTTATAACGAACTCAAAGGGACTACTAATTTTAGTTCGTTATAACCGTAATTCGTTATAAGCATATATACAGCATAACTACAGCAAATAGTCGGGACTAAAAAGTTAGTTCGTTATAAGCGTGTTCGTTATAACCGTACTTTACTGTATGTGAATTATAACGCCGTTGATCAACGGGGCACCATGTTCTTGAAGGACGATCTAGTTTCCGCCTTCAAATAACGTAGTAATTTGGGAAGACGATGTTCAAACACATTTACAATTCACATTAAAATGGAGGAGAATTATACAAACATGATTAAATTTATGAAAGAAAATAACACATCACAAGAATGTCATGACCCTATACATGTTCAGACAAAGGATCACCTTGGCTGCAACCCCTAGATATTTTGAAAAATGGGGATCCAAACTAGTAAACATGATTGAATTCCGTTGTACATTTCTTTATCTATCTTCTAATTGAATTTCCAAAACCAAAAGAATAGTGTTTCCTCTATGAACTCCCAATCAACTATATCAAATGCCTTTTCAATTCAATTCAATTCTTTATTGTATGAAAGGCAACAGGCCCATTTACAACGGAGTTACATAACATATTTTATAAAATACAAAGTCAAGGTAACAATTCACTTCGTAACAAAAAAGCATTATGTATGTACAAAGCCAGTTGATGTTGTGTTATAAGATCCTTGCAAGACAGTAATGAAGACAATCTTTTAGCATTAAAATGAGATAGAGACCACTGCGGTAAGTACTTGTTTCTTAGATTTTCGTATATAGGGCAAATAAACATGAAATGGTATTCATCTTCGACAACAATGTCACAAAATGGGCATAATCGTATCGATTTCTCAACAGATGAAAATCTCCCTGTGTTAATTTTTAGATCATTCAAGCCAAGTCTAAAACGAATAAGGGTGTTACGAGAATTCCTGTACCGTAAATTTGATAAATAAGATTCTGGTTCAAGCAATGACTTGAATTGGCGATAAGTATCATATCTTGAACTTTCATAAATATCTGAAATCTACAAAATCAAATCTACAAGTAATAATAAACCTAGCATCTGATATGTATCGGTGTAGTCCTGTTGTTCATAGATGTGTCTTGTTATTTCACCAGTGTATCTTCCAGCCGTAAACCCTTTTTGATCATTGTTAATCAGGAGGTTTTTGTAGAACACTGATAGTAAGCTTATTGGTCGCCAGGGGGCACGGGTGGCCCAGTCGTCTAAGGCGCCGCGACTCCCTGTGCAGAGTTGCGTCCCTTGGGCACGCCAGAAACCTATGATTGTGGGTTCGAATCCCGGTTCGCCCCGATTATGTTTCTAGGTATGTCAGCACCATACCCGTGCTCGTGGGTTTCACTGAAGTGGTAAACGTCTGAGACCTGCATCAACTCGGGCTTTCCTCCCACATTAAGCTGACACACCGCGATATAACTGGAATACTGTTAAAAGCGGCGTTAAATCCAACTCACTCACTCACTCACTATTGGTCGCCAGGTTTTAAAATGTTGCTTTGGTTTCTTTCCTTTTTGGATACACGTTATGAGTAACTGTCTTTGTGATATTGATAATTGTTCATTTATGTAAGCGTCATTTAAGGATTTTATTCGATATTTCCCCAGGTCATTCAAGAAAAAATTTATTTATCAAAATATGTTGGAAATGTTTAGCACTTAGCAGCTGAGCATATCCCTCAAGTACCTTCGTGTGGGTCATTTCGCACAGAACCATCCACACGAATGTGCACGTTTCAGACACGAATAGTTACCAATAATCAATTAATTAATCATTGACCAACTCATTCATTGAGACAGAGAGGAAGCGTGACGGGTGCAATGGATCCGTTTACGTGTTGTCACCTCAAGTATACTTGAACTTTATAGGCTTTCAAGATTATTGCACTTAGTGCATGCACGTGTGTGTGTGGCTGATTGTACTTGTCCGGACTGATGCCGATTTATAGTGATAAACCCCTAGGATACCATACCGCAGTTTAACATGAATACCCCACTCAGTCACAGTATACTGACTCCGAGCTGACCAGTCCTTGTTTTATCCCCTTAATGCCGAGCGCCAGACAGGGTAACAACACGTACCATCTTTCGGTATGACGCGGCCGGGAATCGAACCCCGGACCTTTCGCTCTCGGGACGGACATGAAGATGAATATTTGTGTAGTGCAATGTAGTGATTGAGTTGGGTGTAACTCCTCATTGAACTGAATATACATCAAGGCATGAGAAAAGGGAGAGAAAGCCCATGGAGGTTATTTATGTAAAAACTACTGGGATGAAACCCATGAACAAGACCAATATCTTCAAATCATATTATAAAAAATGGGATTCAGTCCGTGCATCCGTGCATCCGTGCATCCGTATCACAAGAGATTGTCAAGCAGTACGTGCAATGCAGGATGGCAACCTGGGGAAATGTTCATGATGGGTTCAAAAAGCGCGTCCTTGTTAAAACGTCCCATGTGGCCTTTGCCGGAATGCGGTAGTTACATTATGTATAAGGGTAGGTAGGTAGATACTCACTGGTTTGTAATCTCTTTAAAAACATTTTTAAAAATACCATGCGTACGGAGTTGGTATCTTTATTGATTTTTCGCAAGAGAAGAAAATGTTAAATATTCAGATTATTAACCAATCATTATTAAAATCCTTATATAAGCCCCCGCGTTGATGCCTTTGTGTGCATAGCCCCCCGCGTTGATGTCTTCATGTATATAGACCCCGCTTTGATGTCTTCTGATGTGTAGCCCCGCGTTGATGTCTTCATGTGTATAGCCCTCGCGTTGATGTCTTCATGTGTATAGCCCTCGCGTTGATGTCTTTATGTGTATAGCCTCCGCGTTGATATCTTCATGTGTATAGCCCTCGCGTTGATGTCTTCATCTGTATAACCCTCGCGTTGATGTCTTAGTGTGTATAGCCCTCGTGTTGGTGTCTTCATACGTATAGCCCCCGCGTTGATGTCTTCATGTGTATAGCCCTCGCGTTGATGTCTTCATGTGTATAGCCCACGCGTTGATGTCTTCATGTGTATAGCCCCCGCGTTGATGTCTTAGTGTGTATAGCCCCCGCGTTGATGTCTTCATGTGTATAGCCCTCGCGTTGATGTCTTAGTGTGTATAGCCCCCGCGTTGATGCCTTCATGTGTAGCCCCGCGTTGATGTCTTCATGTGTATAGCCCCCGTTTTGATGTCTTCGTGTGTATAGCCCCCGCATTGATGTCTTCATGTGTATAGACCCCCGCGTTGATGTCTTCATGTGTATAGCCTCCGCGTTGATGTCTTCATGTGTATAGCCTCCGCGTTGATGTCTTCATGTGTATAGCCCCCGCGTTGATGTCTTCATGTGTAGCCCGCGTTGATGTCTTCATGTGTATAGACCCCCGCGTTGATGTCTTCATGTGTATAGCCCTCGCGTTGATGTCTTCTGATGTATAGCCGTAATGTCTTGAAATGTATAGCCACAGGTCTAATGTGTTCAGGTGAAAAAGGTCTTCAGAATATAACAGCCGTGTTGATTGCTGCAAATGAATAGCCGCCTCGTTGATGTCTTCACATCTACAGCCGTCGCGCCGTCGGCATTAGTCCGGCAGACACACACACACACACACACGCACGCACGCACACACGCACACACACACACACACGTGCATGCACGTCGCTATATAAGTGCCATAGATTTGGACGCGACGTTAAACCCCATTCTACCTCACCTCATGATTAAAATGAAAATCCCCAATGGTACATGATTACTTTTGTAATCAATAAAGCTTTCATGTATAACGAATTAAAACAATATAAGTGCAATGATTTGGAACGCGACGTTAAACTCCATTACACCTCACCTATTTCCTTCACAAGTGTTTACTCACAACTGCTGTCTTCACGTGCATTGATCAATGTCATCGACCGCGGTACAGGACCGTCTTGATAGTGTGGTTTACAGGTAGCAAACATTCATGCCACCTGCCGTTGACAAGAGGAGACGACGTGTATCTCTCGCTTACACCCAGTGATGTCGGGATGTCGGCTGAAGCTGGTAAGTTGGGGCGATATCGTTACGTTCGCAATTGATCAAAACTTCGTATGAAGTAACAAAGCGCCATTGTTTCACAACGGATGTAAAAATATAAACAGTAATCAGTGCCGTAGCCAGCCGTGGGTGGGGGTGGCAGGGGATTGGGGGGCAGTTGTCCCCCCCTCCCCCCATTTTTTTTTTATAGAAAACAGTTTTATTTGAATCATGTTGGGGACAAGTGATACTTGTACAAATATTTGCCCCCCACCCCCCACCCCCCGTCCAAAAAAGTTAACTTCGGCCCTGGTAATGATTGTGATAGATTTATTAACGAACGCCCGCTCTGTGCAGAACTAGTATATGATTTTGTTATTTCCCCCCGCCGCGAGGTGGAAGGGGGATACAGGAGTGGGTGTTGTCCGTCCGTCCTTCCGTCTATACCCTCCTTTCGTCTGTCAGGTTTCCGGAGCAGAACTGAAAAAAAACGAGAGATATCTTAACCAAACTTGGCACATAGCTAGGACTAGTGGTGAACTGGTGCCTTTTTGGATTTTTGAAAAAAATATTTTCCGAGTTTCTATGGCAACGAGTTTTGACTTGACAGAAAATGGCGGTAGTGCTCCTCTCCGGGGCAGATCTTAAAAACAATACAGTATTTCTTCACCAAACTTGACACATAGCTAGGTCTAGTGGTAAACTGCTGATTTTTGAATGTTTGGAATTTTTAAACATAGTTCACAGGGGCTAATGCCTTGCACACAACCGGACATGTCAAATTCGTAAGGGATATGATATTCATGCTTGTTTTCTTTTAGTTAGGAAAAGTAGAATATTTGAGTGGCTTGTTGAAAATGACCACAAGTCCTTCGTTCCTTCGTTCCTGGGAGGATTTCTATTGTACTGTGGTAATTCCTTCGGTAAACTAAATGGCGCCATGTTCGGGGATGAATGTTGTTCGACAGTCAGTAAACACAATTGCAACTGCAATGAAATATCAGTAACGTTTGTGTCACAGAGTTACCTCCTGGTGACATATGAAACAAAGATACGTGTCGCTTCTTTGTTCATTGACGGGAGCTCCATGGTGGGCTGAAATGGTTTGGTGGTAAGACTCTGTGCCTTGTCTGATAGCGTGTCCGCGAGTCCCAGGGTACGGGATATTCTATTAAGTCACGGGTTTGCCTGTCTGGACTATTTACATGTTGCCGCGACATTGCGCCGTTAAACAATATCCAACCTCCAATGACTTCTTTAACGCTAGTAAGTATTGTGAATTTAAAGAATTTAATTTTTTTTGTGTAAAATGAACAGTATGTCTTCATCTTTTGACCAACATCCTTGAGTGAGTGAGTGAGTGAGTGAATGAGTGAGTGGGGTTTAACACCGCTTTTTACAGTATTCCAGTTATATCACAGAGTGTCCCCTTATTGCCGGAGGAAAGCCCGAAGAGATGCAGATCCCCACCCCAGCCCCACAGCATCCTGTATCAATAAGAGCAGCTTCACTGTTATGCTTTGTAACCGCTATTTCATATTCATTTAGTAGTATCAAGATCCGCTGGTTCTAATACAATGTAGATTGAATCAACGATTCAGTCTGACTCTCATCTTGAGAGAGAGAGAGAGAGAGAGAGAGAGAGAGAGAGAGAGAGAGAGAGATTCCATGCACCGCATCAATTAGTATCTTAAAGTTTGTAAGGTATTTTGGTCAAATCCAAATTTCAAGTGCATTCTTTGTTTGCCCTGCAGTTTATTTTCATGACAATGTTTACTTGTGAAATCGACACACTCAGTGTAGTGTTCTATGCTCTGGGGATGCGTTTCATCAATGCAATGCAAAACAAAGAATACTTGTCCGTGGGACACAGAGTGCACTACACATGATGTGGGTCCAACATCTACTCGGCATCTCCTTTCAAAGTAACGTTTGTTGATTGTACATAGCAATTAACTGACATCAGTCCGACCTGAGGAAATCGTTTCTGTTTGAAATCATTGTTCCTGAAATTGAGATCCGCTTTTACCGTCACGAACACTCAAGACCAGTCCAATTAGCTCGAGGTCACTGTCACCCCATGCCTGAGTGTACATGACACGGTTCAGGATATGTTTTGTTTGTTTGTTTGTTTGTTTGTTTATTGTTTAACGCCGCACTCAGCAATATTCCAGCTATATGAAGGCGGTCTGTAAATAACTAAATCTGGACCAGACAATCCAGTGATTTATATCACGAACATCTTTCCACGCAATTTGGATACGATGAGGTGTCTAGCCGGTTGAGCCACATTTCAAAAATGACTATTGCCGAATGCGCCACATTTTCAGCTGTGTGCATTTCACCCACTCTAGCCGGTAATTAATTAATCAGAATACCGATACCTTAAAATGAGTGTCCCACATTTAAATTGAGTAAACGTTCTTAATTGACATTGAATTAATCCTGTTACTAAGTGCCCATCTACGAGGTAGTGAAGCTCTTTCAGCGCGAGCAGTCACTCATAGAGGTTGCAGTCCTGAGACCCTCTCACCATATGTAAAATGACCTGTCATGATATCCATCAATGTAATATTGAATAAATTATCCCTGTTATGATCTGAATAAAAAATGAGAAAACAAGACTTGTTTTGTTAAATACGGTAACCTGTTAGAATCACAAAGCATGTTTTGACAGCATAGCCACGAGAGCCACATTCCACAATCACGCAGCCGTAACCATTGCCACGAGAGCCACATCAATTTTGGCTATCTATTTTCGAAATGTGGCTTAGGCGGCCTGTAACCTACGATGACATGTTTTAACCAAGTCAGCGAGCCTGACCACCCGATCCCGCTAGTCGCCTCTTGCGACAAGCATAGTTACCTTTTACAGCAAGCATGGGTTGCTGAAGACCTATTCTACCCCGGATCTTCACAGGTTTCCGGATATGTAAAAAACAAAATCTTGTTACTGCACGTCAGCCGTAAACTACTTGCATGAATGTCAGTCTTTGATATTGTAATTAGGAATACTATTATTCTTCTTTGAGAGGCATTTAGAAGTTGGAGTACTAAGTAAAGATAAGAATGTATGGATGAACAACTTCTTTATTACAATTAGGAGCGACGTGACACTGCTGGAGTTGAGAAGCAAACACACTCCAACTTGGAACGTACTAAAATATGGATGGCTTTTCTTTCTTCGCGGAGTCAAACTTGGCTTATTATGGACTATAATCTCGACTGGTTTAACTTGTGTTAAGCGCTAATTGGCATCAGGTGATTACGCGGACTAATTTAAGCTGCGGCGAGACGATTGAGTTCTTTTCCCTTTAAATCCCAGAATGCATCACGGCATACGGATGAAAGAATCTGACTACATAATTGGACGATGGCAAATAGTAATTAATGCTGCGTCCTGGTGTCTTATCTATTCAGGATCTACGATCTAAAGTAATAAATACCTCTAACAATGATCGTGCATTATTTAATGGCCATTTATCTTTCCTTTGATCACGTTGTAGGCACATCTTCGTACACTGCAATGGGAAATCGAAATATTGAACAGAAGGATTTCAGTTTCTTTGAGTGCCTTTTAGCAGTCGGATATTGGTTATTTGGTATCAGTCATCATTAGTGAGATTTAATTTGATCTTTTAAAGCCGTGTTAGATTTTCTATCATTTCATATTTCATAAAAAAAACAGCTTATCGAGATAACTGAGATGAGGCTAAGGGGTATTCTATTTTTTGTTCGTGTTACTGAAATCTCAACCAACCCTAAATCTGTCGATTTAAATTTCTGATATAAACTGGGCGGCAAAAGAAAGTATGGGTCGATTTCCATGATCGATAAAAAAATAACAAGAAGAGGTTTTGTTGTGAATTATAATATAATCTAGGGAGGGGTAACAAATGATTGATCAACCACAGTTTGAATTAAATTGTGCAATCACAGGTAATGTAAGCTCAAGTTAAACAATGGTGGGGTAAGAAATTTCATTTTCAAAAGTTGTCTGAAATGTCACCAAACTACAAGTTCATTGTCGACACAGTTGCCTTCAATAGCGTGTATGACCTCCAGCTGCCTCAATGCATGCTGTGATACGCCGCCTCATCGATGACGTCAGTCTTCTGATGACGTGGACTGGAATCCATTGTCATTCGTCTCTCAGGGCCTGATGCAATTCTTGTCTGTTGACGGGAGGCTGATGGCGTGCTCTAATCTGTCTGTCAAGATGGTCCCACAGATGTTCAATAGGATTCATATCGGGTGAGTGGGCAGGCCAGGGCAAAACGTCAACGTTCTGCTGGTTTAGAAAGTTCCGAGTCAGTCTTGCAGTATGGGGCCAGGCATTGTCGTGTTGAAACAATGTCCCCTGCTGTTGGTTTTGTAAGAACGGAAGCACAACTGGCTGCAATACTTGGTCTCTGTACTGCACAGCGTTCAGGTTTCCCTGTATTATCACCAAATCAGTCTTCTGATCTCCACAAATACCGCCCCACACAATGAGACCTCCCCCGCCGAATGGATGGACCTCTCGAATACACGACGGAGCCAAACGTTCCCTCTGCGTCGTTAAACTCGTTCTCTGCCGTCATTTCGAAACAAGTTAAACCGACCTTCATCAGTAAATAGCACTCGACGCCAATTTCTCACTTGCCAGCGTATAACCTGCCTCGCCCATCGCAGTCTCAGGCATCGATGTTGAGCAGTCAGTACCATTCCTCGGAAAGGACGATACGCTCGGAATCCTGCAGCACGAAGTCGTCGTAGTCCTGTACGTCGGCTAATGGGATGTCCCAACGATGTTGCTGCAATCGCCGTCGCCGTTACGAATCTGTTTCGCAGGTGAATGAGCCGTATCTGACCTTGCAGACGAACGCATTTATACAGCTAACATGCACGTGCAGTTTATGCCATAGGCGGGAAACCTGTTTCACCATTATTTTACTACCGCACGAGCGCCGTCAATGGTGGCGTGTTCGGGTGGGGTGTTTTTTGGTACCTGTTCCTGGGCAGTCATATTCCTAATACCCACTTTCCACTTGTTATCGCTTTTATTAGGAAAATTACAAATTGCCAACCTATACTTTCTTTTGCCGCTTAGTTTATGTTGGACCTCGAAATACCTGAAGATTAAGAATATGCTATCACTGTATACCTGTCCATTAAACTGATAACATCCACTACATCTTTAGACATTTATGCACTGTTCGATCGCAAAGGTATTTTCATTTGCCGTCCACCTAACCTATGGATGTAAACTGATCTCGTGAACCTGGGAATATATACAGGAGCTGAAGGATACAGACTCCCAAGTGAAATACTTTGCACATATGTCCACGTGAAGATGCTGGTACATGTATTATGTTTGTTTGTTGTTTAACGCCGCACTCAGCAATATTCCAGCTACATCACGGCGGTCTGTAAATATTCGAGTCTGGACCAGACAATCCAGTGATTGACATCATGAGCGTCGATCCACGCAATTGGGATACGATGACGTGCATCAACCAAGTCAGCGAGCCTGACCACCCGATCCCGTTAGTTACCTCTTACGACAAGCATAGTCGCCTTTTACAGCAAGCATGGGTTGCTGAAGACCTTTACTACCCCTACTGGTCTTTTTAAATACAAACTGTATTTTTTTAATAATGTCTTTGATAGGCATTTAGAAGTTGGAAGAACATGAAAACAGGACACATTTATGAATAGTTGTTATCCATAAAAAGTTTCATGTATTTTTTTATTAATGTCGCTACGTTTGGTTTGTAGCGCTTTTGGCCCTTTTGACTTTTTTGTGGCCGTTTTGACAAGGGATTTGTGTCCCTTTTGACTTTTTTGTGGCCGTTTTGACAAGGGATTTGTGTCCCTTTTGACTTTTTTTGTGGCCGTTGTGATCAATGTGTCTGTGGCCCTTTTGACTACAACCCTTGCTAGGCAACCAACGGGATCGGGCGGTCACGCTCTGACTTCATTGATGCATGTCATCGTATCCCAGTGCGAAGATCAATCCTCATGATGTCAGTAACTGGATTGTCTGTACCAGACTTGATTATGTATATAAATAGCTGGAATAGTGCTGAGAGTGGGGTTATGCAACAAAAAACAACTACAAACTACGTTGTTTTCTACTTCTACTTGTATTGCAGGTGTTGATGGTAATGGCTGTTACGCTGAACCTACAGGCGTCAAAGGGTAAGCATTATTAATAGTGTTTTCCAAGGTTGAAACAAATTTGAAACAAATTGCAGCAACATTTGCACAATATCGTAATGTAGCGTAGCAAAACTGAGCAAAGTTTGGAGTAAATGTGGAAAAAACATGTTGAATATTAAATTCGTGTGGTTTGAAATGAAAGGTACTTTGGAATTATCTGCCCTTGGGTAGAGGTTGGTGACTAAAATATACTCAAGCTCCTTCCCAGCGCGTGACACCTTCGTTACACTCTCGGTAACATCGCTGCCGTCAGCGTGGAAGCGGCCATTACAACTTGTCTTGAGATTGCCCTCTAACCCCCAAAGTAGTCACGTTTTTATTTTTGTTTTTGTCTTTGGTTATACAATCATAGGGAATTATGAAAAGGTTTTGACCAGATTTCCGAGATTAATTTTCCTTTTTGTTTGTTTAATCAGATTGGTTCGAGATTGCAGACGAACGGGAAATCATTCAAATCTTCCCTTACCTTCACATATAACCAATTAATGATCGTTGGGATGAAAATAGAAATTCAAATTGACAAAGAAAATAATTTAGTTGGGGCAAAAGTATTTGGCGTCACGACAGTCATCACTTGTTCTTAAACATAACGGTCAGTCGGTTGCAAGTTCAACTCCTAGCATGGCTATGGCCACCCATCACAGCATTCGTCACCACTCGCCCCTTTCCGTAACTATACAGCTTGTCCCGGAATGACACGAGTTGGTCACGAATGCCATCAGTGGGGAGCTCATTCGTCACCACTCGCCCCTTTCCGTAACTATTCGGCTTGTCCCGAAATAACACGAGTTGATCACGAATGTGGGGAGCTTTGACTGGTGGCAGCGAACGGATATTTTTCACGATATACGGCTTTTCCATTGGACGAGAGTCTGGTCTCACTGACGTTCATAAGCGTGTGAACGACACAATCTGACGTTCGAACGTTTTTCAAGAAATGAAATGACATAAACACTGACGGACTTTTTCCACATCCCTGGAGAAACCCCTGGAAATTCAATAGAACGAAAACATACATCAGCGTGGTTTCTGAATAATTTAGACTCTTTAATCTTGACCTCTTCTTGAATATCCTCGCTACGACCCATCCCAGTGAATA